ACATAGAGTCTTCTCATTTCATGGTTATTTGAATATCAGGCATATTTTTTTATTATGCCACAAGATCAATGCTTTTATTAGTGTTTAAATACACTTACACACACTATCAAATATGAATTTATTTTACTTGGTGTGAGGCTTGATTCATGTGGGTTTGCTGTCCATCTGCCTTTAACTGACCCAGCCCTGACCTGTGTTTGGGCCCTGGGCCTCCTCGCGGCTACCGTATGGGCTTCTGTGCATTTTGCTTGTGTACATACGTGTGTGTGTGTGTGTGCACGTGCACGCGCGCATGTGAGGCTAACACAGGGCGGTAGGGTGTAATTTGAGCCCCAGGCTAGGACAGGACTGCTGCACAGTCCATCCAGGCAGAAAAAGCAAGACACGGGAGCCTCGGGGTGGTCAGAGAGAGAAGGAGAAAGAGAAAGCCATCTGAAAGAGTAAGAAGTGGGAAAGCTGGAGAAAGAGAGAGAGTGAGAGAGAGTAATGGACAAAGAGTAGCCAAGCTCTTTTTAACTCAGTCTCCGTGGAAGAGAGATGTCAGTCTGTGTCAGTTCGCTCCACTAACCAGCCTGTAGCAGGAGAAACGGATCTCTCCCTCTCTCCATCACACATTCTTGTTTTCTCTCCCTCTCACTCCCTCCCACACTATCTCTATCTACTTTCTTCTCTCATATCTTTTGCTTATAGCTTTTCTGCCTCAGTTGAGAAAAGCAGAAACACTCCACACCTCAGGGGAAAACAGCAAGACTAAGGAAAAGACCAAGCAGTGAACCAGTCGTCTCTAAAAGGCAGGCAATGTATAGTGCAGGTCTTCTCCTGATCACACTACGGGTGAATGAGGACGGGCCGCTCCAAATGCTGTAGACTAAAGCCCTGAAGGCACGGCATGCTGCTGGCTCTGCTGCAGCGTTTCCTTCGGTGCTGTGAGGAGGGCAGCACACAGCTCTTCAAACACAGAAGGGATCAAGTCTTCAAATCCCCCGGAAATGTCAACCACGTTTGAGGAAATGTCAGTAGAGCTGAGAACACACGCAAACACACATCGAGCGGCGTGCGCACACACGCAGACACTCACGCCAAAAGCCACGGCAAGAAAGGCAATGTGATATAAAGCAGTCATGTCCCGTGGGTGAAATCAGCATCAGCTCATCGTTTTCACAGATCTCAAGGGAGAATCGCTTTATGCAACTTAAAGGTGTTGATTCCCCAAAATGTTGAAGTTTTAATCCGTGGCATTTTCATATGAAATATTTCCTTTGCTCTAGAAAGTTTAACGATTCAACACAATTGTGATTTAACCGGTGATGCCAGGGTAATAAAGACAAAGGGTGGAATTGTGTTTTTAGTCTAAAGAGCTTGGAAAGAAAAGCGACAGGACTTCTTTGAGTTTCATCCGAGAAGCTTCTTCAGTTACTTGAAAGTCTTTCAAAAGTCTGGATTCAGTATCAGTTATATCTTCATGTATTTGTAGATTAGCATGTCATGAGTAATTAAAAGAAAAAATGATGTTCACCCACTTTCTCTCTTACCCACACTATGTGATAATACCATTAATACAATGTCGATCCTCATACCTGATGCTTCAGGTGATCTCATCTGCAGCCACTGACATCATCCTGTGTTAGTATTGATCTCTCGTCATTCCCGCTGACTAACTTATTGACATCCTCAAGTGTATTTCCTGTCTAGACTGTCAGCAGTGCTCAAGGATGGCCCTGCACCCTGGTGACACACACACACAAATGTGCGCACACCAGCTTTGCTTATTGACGTATCCTTTTGGTCCCCCCCAGTCCTCCTCCTTAATGAATCTGGAAGGTGCTGAACTGCAGATGTTGTGCAGGGTTTAAGTATTGATGGTGCGGACGTGACTAAAGTGCTTCTCGCCGAAGAGGCCTGAGTTAGCCCACAGTGAGTGTGGATGAGAGAGACAGAGAGTAATTATCAAAGGCTAAATGTCTTTTTGAGTGATGTGCACATGTGTTGCACATCACTCCCTGCGTCTCACTTAGAAGAAGTGATACAGACTCTAGAACAAGGTGAGTGGATGCATGCAAGAGGTTGTGAACGCTGTTTAGAAGCTGACAGGTGATATGTAGGTTAAGACAGGCAGATAACTGCAGAGGTTGTGGCTCTCTTGACTGAAAAGCCTTTTTCTCTAAGACAGTAATAGAGGCACACAAGCATGCACACTTTTCTACATGTAAGCCTGCGTACCCTCTGGACTGTTTATCTTTAGCCGCCTATCAAGATCTGCTCTCAGCTACTAATGTCTTGTGATCCTTGGAGGGCGTACTATACTTCACACTGCAAGTGATTTGTGCTGGCAGGCTCTCTCCATGTCCTGTGACATCATCCATTACTAACACCCTCCTTACCGATTAGAGAGATAATGCTGAACTCTGGAATTAACCTCAATTAGTACTACCTCTGTAGATCTTTCTCATTTCACCTCCTGACTCCTGCTTTGCATCTTAAATGGCCTTGGTCTATTTCTGGTCTATTCAGAAAGCATATGTCAACATAAGTGTGCATGCACACTCAGGCACAGCTCTTCAAATAAAAGAGTGGTTATATAGCTTTAGATCAGTTTTATTTATGCGGGCACATTTTTCTTTCTTATTTTTGGCAATGCAGCATAAATGTGTGATTCAGATTTACTGTTTTAGTGATTGATGGAGTTGGCGAGGCACTAAGAGGTAGTTACTTGTAGTTTTTGTAAAAATAAATTAAGCTTTTGCTTGGGTTGGGTTGGATGTGCAATCAATTGTCTTCCTCTTAAATTTCCCATCATTTCAATTTGTGTGACACCTTGGGAACAAACAAAGACATGCGTCACAGAGAATTCTTTAGCCCTAGCTGCACTTTGCAGTTAATATGTATTAACAAATATCAGCATGCCAACACATTAAACGGATTAAGAACAAATCATGAATCGCTACATTATTTGCTAGTCATTGAGAAGGTAACACTTTGCTTAGCTTATAGCTGTGTATGAAAGCACTTCTGCTGCTGTCACAGGGTTATGTTGTGTCACCAAGACATTGTGAAAATATATAGCTTCCCAATATTTTGGGTCTAACTGAGCCATTTTAAGCCTTTGATGCCAACATCTAAATTAGCATCAATGAGTCCTGTTATCTTGGCTTTTTCTTTGAGGGTTGGGTTTTTAAGTGCTGCTTCCTGCCATCCAGTTTAGCGGATGAGAAAAGAAACAATATCTGAGTAATTAAATTATGTAGGCTAATGTCCTTGACTAGATATAAAAGTTCATGCCCTGCTAGCTGCTTCTCTGTGCCCTTCTCCTTTCTTTTTTTATAGTTTTACATCCACTTTAGGGAGTTCATAAATAAGCCATTTACTTGTGCCTTTTAAACAAGAAAAAAAAACACCAAAGTGGCTGATGAAAGAGAGTGAGTGGCAGAAAAGGTTAGGAAACACGTGAGCATGTTTGTTGTGTGTGTTGTCTGGAGTAGAGTTAATCCACGGGCTCAGACATGACTATTTGCCTGCACTGTCCTCCCCCTTACTTTGCTTTTAAGGTGTGTAGAGCCTTAAAGCATACCCAACATGCCTGATGAAGAGGCTAAGATAAGATATAATAAAGCAGCAAAGAAGTCAAAATACCCAGTGACATTCTTGCAGGTTAGACAGGTGCACAAAAATACAATGGGATGAGAATCCTAATACCTCAGTGGCATATCCATAACCAAAAGTGCGTAGGAGAGGTGAATCATTGGCTTGAACAAAGGGTGAATGTATTGTTAAGTGAGGTGTATTTGAAATGGTTTTTAACTGCTAGTGTGGCACAGGCAGCTGTCTGGGCCTGAAAAGAAGGCCCGTGGGCAGATTTGAGAGAAGCGGTTGAGCTAACAAAAAATCCCCTGACCAGTATGCGAATTTACATACAGGCCAACTGCCAAAGCACTTGTCAGTTTGTTGTGTCATATTTACCGTTTTGGGTTTGCCCACTCAACTTGTAACTGTAGGAGGAAGCACTGACACACCTTGATGTTTCACAAACATCAACAAATGTCTGTGAATACATGCAGTCAGTCAGGCGAGCACACACACTTAAATAAAGGAGGAAAAAGAGACTCTAACTACTCCCCCCGGCTCCTCATGAGAAGTCATTAGGAATGTGTCTGTGTATTTTATTTTTAGCAGTGTGTGTTTAGGAGGGGTAGTGGAGTCTCGTCAGTCTTCAGGGCCCTCCTCTGCTCTGTCGCTCCGTGTCTCTGTCTCCAGCTGAGAGCTATGTATATTTCATAAGCCCAGGGTGCCTTTTTGTCTTAAGATGTGCTGCACCTCCCTTGCCTGTCTCTCTGCTACTCGTCAATGGAGGGAGCCATCACGGTCTTTTTTTCTTTTCTTTTTTTTTTTTAAAAAGTCTTTCCCACTCTTCTCTCTCACCTCGCTGACAGCCACCCTCTGCTTCTCCCTCTGCTTTTCATGGTCAGCTTGTCTCTCTGCTGATGTCTCATCCATCTTTCCTCTTTCAGCTGTGGAAGGGGGCAGAGTAGAGCACGTACAAACAGACTTGGTCTGTCAGGAAAAGTCTCCCTCTGTCTCGCTCTTTGATTCTGTCTGTCTGTCTCTCTGTTTTGTAGCTCTGTCACTTCAGGGAAGGGACATTTCTTCACCCAGAGCTGCATCCCCCTTCGGTTGTTGTCTTTTTATAGCAGAAATCTGAGTGCTGTGACAGCAGCTAAAAATGTTTGCAGTCAAAATAGATCTGCAGTTAATTGCTATATTTGCACCATCAATCTCTTGTTGTTGTTTAAAGTTTATTACAATACCAGTATTTCTGCTTTAGCCCTGATAAAGTAAGAACAAGTATGTTTTGCAAACATTTCCACAGCATCTCTCATATTGTGACTTTCACAGGAGGAGAATCTTTAAACTGAGTTGTTGTTGATGGTTATTCTAGGAAATGTATTTAGACTTAATAAACGCCTCTTATACCTCGGTACCCTAACAGTCTTTCTATGTTTCAGGGTAGTACTGTGATTGAGGCTGCAGCAGGAGCCAGTAAGGAAGTGGACGCAGGGTCGGGGCCCTCACAAACTACAGGTGACTACACTCCTCCTCGGCCACTGACCTTGGAGGCAGAAAGAGCAGACCGTCAGCTTTCCAGTGAGTATTGCAAAACCCACTTGTTCCACTGGTTTTATGCTTCCGTCTTCCCTATTTCCATCACTATTGCTTCTCTTTGTTGTTTTTCTGTTTTGCTTAAAACACTGAAGCCTTTTATTTGTCTTTTACGCACCAGGGATCTGTGATTCAAAGCATTTCACTTAACACTACTGTGATTTTACAGAGCTTACTGCACTATAAAGCAGTGCAATCGAATTTCCTTTTGCCATTCTCCAGCCATTAGCAGTATTATCTGACTGACTGATATGTTTAATATTGCATTTGTTGATCTTGTCTCTGTGTGTCTCCTGTGGCCAGAACTACTCGAGAGTCTGTCACTCAGAACATTCAGTAGTAAACACTCTGCAGCTAGAATGAACCACACCCTCGAAATATATACTCTTTACTTGGTAAGCAACTTATCTGTGCTTACTTTTTCCTGTGTGAGGTATCTGTGTGACCCTGCTATGTAGCAACACAGGAAGTGGTGAGACCCCCGGAGTGAATGAAATGAGATCTTTGGCAGTTCTGACACTCTAACCGAAAAGTGACAAAAATTACTTTTGACTTCCTCTCTTCGTGCTTGTCCCACCATGTACTCTTATACTTCTGCCTTTTTTACACTTTACAGCCCCATTTCACCTCATCCGTATACCAAGAGTACGTATCACCAAGCGTCATACATTAACGGCTTCTTTTCCATCGTGTCACATCACAAATATCTATCGATACAATCTGCCGAGTGAGATTATGGGACGTGAAGATGATTTGTCTGCAGTTTGTTTTGCAAATGTCCCAGGCGTTTGATCTCTTCACCATCCTTTGAGTGCATTGTTTTATAGCAGCTGCTCCAAATCACCAGCAATGCAAACCTACAAAGCCACCTTTTTTTTTTTTTACAAAGACCCTTTTTGTTATTAACTTGAAAATTTACTTCTAGATAGATTAATCAAATACACTTTTCAATCAGTTATTGAAATTGTATGCTTTGCATCAGTTCACATCTCCTTTATAGTGCATTTAAGTGGTGCTTGACCCGAGGGTTAAGAGGGTGGGACTGCTAAAGTAATGCTGGAAAATGAGGTTGAAGATGTCATGATGAAGCAGGCACAGCCACAAAAAAATTGTGACTATATGTCCTTAGGGAGGCCATCACAACAGAGGGGTTTGGAGCTCAGTGTGTTTATGTGGAAAGTGCTGGCTGTCTCCTCTCATCAGTTTAGCCAAACTGCCTTTTAACTGAATGCAAAATCCCCTTTTTCTTCTCTCTTTTATTTATGGAAATGTTTACACTAATAAACATCACCGTTTTGTACGTTTCTTATCTCATCCTCCTCTTTTCCACTGTCGCTTTCTTCAGCTCTCTCTCTCTCTTTTGCTCTTTCCTGCTCAGGCCTCGCTTTCTTTTTTCCACGGCTATTTCTGTTTAGCCACGAGTGCCCTGTCGTCGTTTACAGAAACCATCTAAAGCTCTCCTTCTAACTAAACACACAGACACTGTAGCACCACCACAAAGGCACTTGGCTAAACAGTCATGACAAGGGGTGGGGGGGACCTCACATCTACAGACACACACGTAACATTGAATGATCCTCCCTGTGGTCTACTGTGGTATGAGAACGGGGTTTTCATGAGTTATTTAAGCCCTCTTCATCATGCGTGTTGCGCTGCAGCTCACACTGACATGACACGGCCCATTTCCTTCTCTCGGGCCAGAAACGTGACACAAGACACGCTTTCCGTGTTCACACAGAATAGAGTAAAGAGGTACACAGGCAGTCATGATCACAAGGCTGTAGGGTTTAAATCATTAAATGTCCCCATGCAGCAACCGTAGTGAAGCTATAGCGATAGACTGATGATCTGAGACAGTTCCTACTGTCCACTGCAGTGTGCACTCTCTGCTCGGTCACATCATGTCAGAAATATTTCAGAAGGAGCCACTTTTCATTTCAAATGCTCAAAACCATTGCAGTGAACCCTCATATGGAAGGAAACAGAGGGTTTGAACTGGGCTGACCACGATGTGCTTCATGCTTGTGGACCCTTGATTTGACGAATACTTCACAACCCACTCAGAGCAACTACACAGTCAATACATCGTTAGTGGTGAGGAAGGACAAAGGTAAACCTCCTGCTACACTAACTGCACAGATTTCTAATAGAGGGAGTGACACGCAGGACTTATATAGCCTATATAATAGTAAGGGTATATGAAGTGGGAATCTGTGGTGCTATTCTCTTCTTTATCTCAACTGTTGGAGCATTTATCCGTCTCACAGCGTCTTTGATTCCTGCCTTTGTTAGCCTTTACTCTGCTCTGTTCCACTGTGTCAGAGCAGCCTTCTGTCCTTTTCACACTCAACAAATCCATTCAGAAACATATGCCTTCATGTTGTTGTGTACATATGTATATTTTGACAAGGGAATTACGCATGCTGATTGCCATGAGATGAGCTGTGAGTGTGTTTTGATCGCAACAACACAGCTGGACTTGGCAGACTTGGCAGTTGAGTGCACTTGGCTTTTGGCCAGTTCAATACAATCACAATTACCCACAGTGGGAGCATGGAACACCCCTGAAGGTAGGGTGTGGGTACTGGTTGGGGCACAGAGGGTGGGTACTTAACAGTCTTTGGCCACTTGCATCTGCTTGGAAAGACTGAGCTTGTTGTGTCTGGTTAACATTCCACATTAAGAGTGTTAGGGAAGACAGCAGGTTGACTGCTCAAACAGTCATGCCACAACACAGTAAGCTACACATGCAAACATTAAACAAAGCCGGCTGTAAGAAGATGATTACAGCTGCACTTTCCCCCATCTTTTTGTCCAGTGGACCGATCGGCATGTGTATGTAAGGAGCAGTGCAAGGAATAAGAGAGCAAAGAGGTTACACGACTGAGGCGCTGAGGGGTGGGGAAGGAGAGGATGGTGAGCTGAAGATGTGGTAGCAAGGAATGCGCTCAATAGAGGACGACTGGAGGGTGACAGAGGAAGCATGGGGAGGAATGCCACTGCTTGCTCCCCCTCCTCGGCTCCCTCTCTTTTCTTCTTCTCTTTTGTCCCCCTCTGTGGGGATGGGAGGATGGGACAACTTCAAATGACAGTGACAAGCTTGCCACCGCTTCTATGAAGCACAGCAGATGGGAAAGTGTGTGTGTTTGTGTGTGTGTGTGATTAAAATGCCGCTGGAGACTGGGGTATACTGAGTCTCTTGGCAGCACCACACTTGGCAAAGTGCCACTTCTCTGCCCTCTTTTTCCAGCCCATCAGAGTGGGCATTGAGATATGTATGTGTGTGTGTGTGTGTGTGTGTGTTAAGTGAGAGCAGGCAGTCTCAATAAACAAATATTAATTCACAGTGTTTTCATTGTTTGTTTCATTATCTTTTCTTCAGGGCCTTGTAAACTGGATGGCGTGTGTGCCTGTTTTTTCATTCATGTATCTGAGTAATTCAGTAATGATCATAGAACTTTTGAGAAACAGAGCCCTGTTCTGCAGTGTGTGGCGCCAGTGCTGGCGTGCATGGGGGAATTAGTGAGGAGACAGTGGGTTTGGCAACATGCCATGGTTATTAGCCACTCGCATGGTGGGCATGAGCTTATGCCCCGACTCAATCACTCACTGTGTTTGCATTTGTGTGTTTAATGTGTTTGCTCCTGTGCGTGTATATATGCAAGTCGAGCATTTGTGTCGGGATTCTCCTCTGGTCACACTGACCTTATTGTGCAGTCACTCCTGGTTGATTTGTATCCCTTCCAACACATTCCTTTCCCTGAAAGGCCGAGAAACGGGCTGTTGACCCCCTTTTCCCCCCATATTCACCGTCTCTTTCTTTCCATCGCTCTCTCACTTTCTCTCCTCTTCCCTCCGGATGGGTTTGATTTAGTGACTGTGGTTTTCCAACCAGAGCCTGGGAGCCTGAAAGTGTAGACTTAGGGAAGAGACCTATAGATTCACAGGCAGCGGAGCATGTCATTACTTGGCCATAGCTCATCAGCAGATACATCATCAGGCTGGAGCTCTATTAGATGTGAGCTGATGCACTAAATGATGGCAGTATCTAAAATTGCATTGTTATTTCTGGGTAGATATTTAGCTCTACACTGCATATATCAATATTCCTACCTACCTTGCTATCCTAACACCATCGGGGAGGCAATGTTTGGAATCTGACATTCTTTCTGCACAATGACAATGACACAGTTAAGAGTGATAAAGAAGTGTCTTCATCAACTATTCCTGCAACAAGCTTGTTGCCAGTATGCCCTCTTCTGCAGCTCTCTTCTCTCCCTGTCTCTTTTCCTGACTGCCTCACAACAGATAGGCTAACTTTTGGCTCCACAAGGGATTCAACACCTTCTCTCCAAGGTGAAAGTCCCTTGCTTAACTTTTTTCTTGTACAGGCACTTGCTATATTCTACTATTATACCACTCACCACAGCTGGTCTTAAAGGATTTGTAAAGCTTGATCTGCAATGCTTTAAAATGATCTTAAACTACATCAATTACAATATGTTGAAATGCATTGCCAGTTTTTATCCAAAAAGCTTAAACCCCATGTTATTGAGTAAAAAAATTAATAAATTTATGTTGTTTTTGAAAGTGTTGTTTTTTAACTTCAAGTAACTAAACCTGTTGCCAGTACTGCTTGTCAACATTGTGATTCCCTTTTTTGGACTTGAGAGAAAATATATTTAGATGTATTAAGATATACTATATTTATACATTGAGACCACCTAATGTGAGGTGGAGGCCCAGCGTGGAAGCCATCAGGCAACGTTCAAGACAGCTCAGGAAAAAAAAAAGAAGAAAAAAGACAGCTTAGTGAGAAACTTCCAGACTCTGACCTTTGACCTCACATTGAGAAAGGAAGCAGGTGTTCAAGCATGATTAGGCCTGATGTGCTAAAAACTGGCAGCAAGCTTTGTAGAGGCTATCCCAGCTGTCATAGGGCAAGAAAAGGAGGAAGTACACTCTAGACAGGTCACCGAGCCTAA